CACCGATAGATCCACCGCCACTGGAACCAGCGCCGTACCTTAACTTGTCCAGATCCGTAAGACTCGAACCTCGTCTAACACGAAGGCGGGAACCAGTTACATTCGAACGATTGGAGAAAACTTGCTCACGATGTATATCCGCCTCACTGGCCGCTTGGCCTTTCCTACTACGCATCATTTTAAACATTTGTATTTAGTTAAACACCGTACCGTACTAACGTTTACACTTGTACTGAAATGTTACCTGAAGTGAAACTTAATTTGCATATAGATAGCAGATAGGTGCGCGCGCGTCGTGTTATTAGGGCCATGGCCGCCCGCAGGATGTCGCTATCAAGTCCTTGTGAACTTCCGTTGCCACTAAACAAAACGTATTGCAAACGTTTTTTCCTAAAGATGTTAACTGGTCCGAGGCTTTTTACAAACTGAACGAAGTATAGTTTGATATGTATAGCTGGAGTAAGTCAGTTGAACTAATGAGGTGATCGGGTTCAAAGCGTCACGGGACTCAGCGGGCGGGCGGGCCACTTAACGTATAGCCATGTTAAGCAATGGATGTCTGAGACTGCAAACGATTTTTTTATAAATCATTCGTTATTTAATGTGTTTTCTTGTTATTATAAATAAATATATAATTTAATCAATTAAAGTTATATCGAAAACGTTCAATAGACATTATTTAAGTTAATAAAACAAAGAATCCATCGACAATTCTGTCTATCACAGTCATTAACGTTAAATGTTTACTAGGACCGTCTCTTATTGTCATTTTAGTACGAAATACCTATACGAATGGTAATTCATTGACTAAGTATGTTCATAACGCTATTAAATGTTAACAAAGACATTGCCACAAGAATAAAATGCGGTGGCAAGTTTTAAATCGTAATGGGATACAACATAAAAAATGTAAGTTTTGCTTGTTAATTAACGTTAAAATAACTAAACTGTTCAAGAAGTGGAAAAATATTTTTTATCCAAAAGTCGAAAACATTCAAAATCGCCCTTATCTTCAAGGTTATTCATTAAGGGGTCGGCGTCATGCGGCGAAATAACAGCATTTTCACATTTGCGGTACGTAAGCCACATTCAGTCCCGACAGGGGGCAGCACTATAGCTTGTCCTTAGATGCCTTTATATTATTACGAAATGTGCTTCGTTATGCTCCGATTAAATAAATAATATGCTACAAGACGGATCATTACCACAAATTTAATAAAATGTAGATTTATAATCCTTTTTTTCTTTCTCTGGACCGAATTGGATCGTACTCTTTCACTATTAGGGTTAAAGATAATACGTTATACAACATGCATACGTCTGCGACTAGATTTCAAAGTTACGTATGCAGTCAACCAGTCCATACTGGGCTAGTGTGGGTGACTACAAACTCATCTTTAACTTGAGTAGCCTTCGATCAACTAGAGGGTGACATATAAGAGCTGAAGTCGATGAAGGATTATAGAATTCAATAATTTATCGTTGTACATCGTTATTTTAAATTATATAGTGTTAGATATTTCCACAAATGACTTCCTTTAAAATATAGACGGATGGCCATATTAACAATACTTGTAAATTACTTTAAAACACACAAACTGAACTCGAATGCGACAACGCAGATATATCGAACGTTCCGTTGTGACGACTAATAAAACTTCACCCCACTATTCCTTCCGTTTCCTAATATTTTCCTAACAATATTGTTGTTTCAAATAAAGATGACGCTGGCGCTCTCTCGTGTCGGAGGCCAAGACCCACTACGGTTCGCTGCGCCAACGCAATAAGTAAGTAAATAAAGAAAGAATACAGAATACATCAAAAGTAGTTAAAAAGCTAACAGTAGAAAATAAAAGCAATTGGTTAATCAGTGGTGAAATTATAAATCTCAAAAACATTAAAACAGAATTCGTGGGCTAAATAGTAATGCATTTTAATGTAAATTTGCCGATGTAATTTATACAGTTATATTTTGTTATCATAATAGTTCATTACACTTATGTACCAGATATTCATATTGATTTTATAGGATTTTAACGAAGCTTAATTATCGTATCCAGTTAATAAATAAATATTGGACGCATGCGGCGCTGTAACAGGTTTAGTAGATGTTTTTATCTCTGTTAGTTAATTTACCTGAATAAATTGATTTGGTATTATTGCTTTTTAGTACTTTTGAAATAGAATCTTCAGCTATAAATAATTTGCAGTCTTTTAATTGGTTTAGTTTAGTGTTTTTCTTTTGTTGTGTTGGGGACACTTTCCCCAACACAACAAATAACCAAAAATGACCAAAAGCTCTCAATTTCATGCCACAGTCAATTTGTTAGAGAAAAAAGTACTTCAGTGTAGCTTGTTTAATGGTCAATGATGAATGTTCAGATGGAATAAACCGACGTGATTAACAACCGTACCTAAATTACATAAAAACACACAAAGATAATGTTATTTCTCCATCAATATTAATAAAATAAATAAAACGTGACGAAATAAACATTAAAATAACGCAATTATTATTCGATAAATCAACGTACATTTATATCGTCACAAATATAAAAATTGACTCACATTTAGCTGCATGACGATCTTGTTATACGCTCGATGCCACCGTTGTTTTGGCGTCAGCTTCGGCTGCTCCGGCTGGAAATCCAACTGTTCTGCCTTTTCCCTTTCTTCGTCTTCTTGGAATACCGTATCATCTTCGTTATACGCTTCATCAACTTCATTGAACTGTTCTTCTTCGAACTTCTCGGTTTCCTCTCTATAGGCATCATCTCTATCATGAAAACTTTGTTCCTCATCCTGGTATTCAGAACCGGGCTCGTCGAACGAATCTCTAGGTTCTTGGAATGTATCAAACTCCTCTGGAACTTCATGATATGTTGTGCGTTCATCTTGAAATGTCACTTTTGACTTATCACTAGTGGCTTCTGAAAAAGAATGATTTATCAAATAAAAACTATTCATCATTTTCCCATCATATTTTCGAATTGCAAAACATTGTATAACTTACCTTCTTGTGTGGTAGGGACGGGAAATTTATCTTCAACTTGAACAGAACTTTGTGAAGTCTTTCGATCTGGTATCGATGGTGCTTGACTATGGTAACTGTCAACCGAAGGCTTGCGCATTTGCGAAAGTGTCCTCGTAGGGGAGGCAGTCTTTTTTATGCTCGGACTTGAAACCTCTGGTGCATGACTTTCTGTGTCCATTTCTTCTTGAATTGTATCATGAATGTACTCATCATCATGATACCTGTCTAAAGAAGTTCTATCTCGGTCTATGCTTTGATCTAATTCAGTCTTTTGGTACTCTTCTTCGTAGGCACTTTCGTCAAAACTCGATTGGGTAAAGTCCTCCGGTGCGTCTGGCAACGTCCTTGTTCGTCGCACTGAAGGTCTTTGTATAGATTCCTGTCTCCTAAGTGATGGTGTTCTTGGTAAGACAGGTGTACTTGTTGTTGTAGCGGCAGTAACTGTTACTGATTTTGGCACTTCGGGGACGGATGTAGTAACGGGAGCTGTAGTACACGTAAATGGGGTTGCGGGAGCTAGTGTTGGTGTCATTTGACTAACAGAAGTTGTAGTTGCTTGTGCTGTTGTTGTTGGTTGACTTAGTGAAGGCGGAGCAACAGCGGCGGCGGCAGCTCCAAAAAAGCTACCT